TGTGGAAAATTGCAATCAATGTCATGAGACAAAGTGTGTGTGAGCTGCTGTATGGAAAGTGAATCTGCTCTGTAAACTTTCACACAACTCACAATAAAAATTAAAAAAATAAAAAAATAAAAAATAGTATTGGATCATAAACCAAAGAATAAAATAATGTCCATGAGTCCACATTGATACAAATAAATAACTAAATAAAGGAATGGAGGAATAAGCATCAACTATTTCTTCCAGAGAGTAGAAGAAGTCCAATTAATAAAATGTGGAAGGAATGAGCAAACAGAAAATCACAATTAGAATTAAAAGAAATAATTGCCCTTGGCAAGATCCATTCATGAACACTAAAATTAGTACATGGAAGTATAAACAGAAATTAGATATTTACATAGCCTTAAAGTATCTTTCTCAAAATATTCAGGAATTATAAAGAGAAAAGTAGTAACTTTACAATGGAAAATACACTATTTATGGTAGCAGACACCCCCTTGATCAATGTATCAAAGTTAATATTAAAGCATTATACTTAGCACAGCCCCTGACATTATGTACTGGGAAGGGCACATCACCTCAGTAGTATGTATCCTCAACCTAGTAATGAGGGAACATCATACCAATCCAAACTGAGAAGAATTCTACAAAATGGCCAGTATTCTTCCAAAATTTTAAGGTCATATACAAAAATTGATGCAAGGTGGATCAAAGACCTGAAGGTAAAACCTAAAATTATAAAGATCATCAAATAAAAAATAGGGACAAACTTAGGGCTCATAATTTATGGAATGAAAAGTCTATTAAACATAAGCAAAATCACACAAACAGCAGAAGATAAACCAGACGACTGGGACCTTCTAAAAATTAAACACTTAATTTCAAAGGACTTGTCCAAAAGGGTAAAAATAGAACAGACTGGGCAAAAAATGAGCCATCTCTGTATCTGACAAGAGACAAATCTCTAAAATTTAAAGAAAACTTCAACACCTCAACAACAAAAAGACAAACAATCCAATTGAAAAATGAGCAGAGGGCATGAGCAGATATTTCACCAAGAATACATTAAGGCACACTGCCACATTTTTCTCCTGCAGAAACACTGTTGGATTCAAACTTTTGACCTTTCAGTTAAGAGCCAAGTGCTTAACTACTGTGACACCAGGGCTCCTGTTAAACCCATAGGACTGCACAATACATAGAGTGAACCTTAATATAAACTGTGGATATTATTAATAAGAATATGTCAATATTTTTTCATTAGTTGACACAAATGTACCAGAGTAGTGCATAATCTGTGCATGTATGTATGTATGTGCATTTTGGTGTATGTGTATTGGGGATGGGGTAAGTTTTTATATGGAAACTCTCCATAACTTCTGTACAGTTTTTCTATAAATCTATAATTCCTCTAAAGAATAAAGTCTATATTAAAAAAAAAAAAACTAAAAGAGATTAATTCATCAACAAATATTAAAGCAGAAAACAGAGACATCCATAACTTTGGAAATTAGCTTCATAATTTCAAATTTATTTACTATAGATGGGTTTAAGGAACATAAACTGCATTTAGCTTTTAAAGTAAATCATCAGCTCTTTATTGTGAGGAGGGTAGAGTATAAGAAACTTTCTTCTCTTCCTTCATCTAGTACTTCAAAGTTTCTTGATTCTTTCATTAAAAAAAAAAAAAACTCTGCCAATTAGTTGCTCAATTAGTTGATTCTGACCCAGCAACCCTATAGAACAGAGTAGAACTGCTCCATGGGATTTCCAAGGTTGCAAGAGTTTATGGAAGCAGATTGCCCTGTTTCTTTTACAGAGCAGCTGGTGAGTTCGAACCACCAACCTTTTGATTAGCAGCACAATACTTCAACCACAGTGCCACCAGAGCACCTTGATTCCTTCATAGGTCACTAGAAAGAATTCTCATAAGCACAGAAGACTATAAATAAAGAGAATAAAGAGTAAAGAGAAAGCTTCTGTATCTAGAAAGTATCTTTGCAGGAGACCAACATTATAGATTAATTGAAGGAACAGATTTACTGTGAAGGTAATAATGCTTAAGTTGTATGGCTCCTTGTATGCATGAGACCCTTATAAGACTCTAGAAGAGTCTCTAGCAACACATAAGTGGGCAAATGTTTTTTGCAAATTTTGCAAAAGTAAATTACTTAACCCTTCACCTAGTAAGTCTGCTGTCTTTCCACGCAGATTTTCTCACCCTCATTTTTCCCTTCTAATTGTATGATTTTGAAGATGCCACAGGCTTCTTTGGAGCTAGTGCAGAAGCTATAGTGCTGCAGGCATATTGTTGGAAAAAGAATTAGGAATAATCTTGTTTGTGCTCAGTGGGACATATGTATATGATTTTTGATAACTTCTTGGTATTGCTGGTATTGCTGATCTTGGTATTGCTGGTCACCCAGATTTTAGCAGAAATTCAGCATATTCCATTCCAGTGCCATGGTAATTTTTCTTTTGCATTTAGTTTAATTCATACAGGAACCAATTCTATTATGAAGACTGATCCTCAGGGTAATCTTCCTTTCAGACTGAAAAGTTTATTTTTATGAGGAAACAAAACAAGTTAAAATCCCATCTTTCTTTGCTTCATCATCAGAAATGATTCTTATAGGGAGATACTAATTATAAATAATATTTATTGATTTCTTTCCATGTTTAACTACTTTCAACTGCATTTTGTAGAGTAAGATACTTAGAAGTTAAATGAATTTCTCAATATCTCACAGAGCTAAAACCAGGAACTCTGGTTATAGTGAGTGACTTATGCCACCAAACAGTTTGGGGTGTCTATTGCTGTTTGCTGAAAGTGAGGAAGACCTGAAACATTGATGAAAATCAGAGACTACAGCCTTCAGTGTGGATTACACCTCAACATAAAGAAAACAAAAAAATCCTCAAAACTAGGCCAATAAACAATATCATGATAAATGAGACAAGATTGAAGTTATCAAGGATTTCATTTTACTTGGATCCACAATCAATACCAGTCAAGAAACCAAATGATATATTGCACGGTTCACGGGTGGGGTGTGTGTGTGGACAAATCTGCTGCAAAATACATCTTTAATGTATTAAATAGCAAAGATGTCGTTTTGAAGGCTAAGGTAGGCCTGACCCAAGCTATGGTACTTTCAATAGCCTCATATGCATGTGAGAGATGGACAATGAATAAACAAGACTGCAGAAGATTTGATGCTTTTGAATTGCAGGGCTGGCAAAGAATATTGAATGTGTCATGGAATTCTAGAAGAATAAACAAAGCTGTCTTGGAGGAAATACAGCCAGAATGCTCCTTTGAAGCAAGAATGGCCAGACTTTGTCTCACCTACTTTGGTCATGTCTTCAGAAAGGACCATTCTCTGGAGAAGGAGATCATGCTTAATAAAGTAGAGGGCTAGCAGAAAAAAGCAGAAGACCCTCAACAAAATAGATGACCATGTGCTCAAGCATGGCAATGATTGTGACAATGGTGCAGGACCAGACTTTGTTTTGTTCTGTTGTGGGTAGGGTTGCTATGAGTCAGAACTGACTCAACAGCATGTAACAATGTTTCTGGTTGAGAAGTGAGAAGACCCTGGACATAAGGTCATTATATTTGAGATCTTAGACAAAATGATTAACTTCTCTTGCCCTTAGTTTTCTCATCAGTTAAATTAAGGTGGACAAGTAAGTGTTCATAACTTTTGGGTAGTGTCATACCCTTTGAGAAAAGGCAGAAAGCTATGACCCCTTTCTATGAAGTAAAACAGATGTGCTTACTCAATTTACATACATGCATAGATACCCTGAAGCTTTTTTCTTGGACTAGGAAATCTTTGCATTTTTTATAAATCTAATATTACACTATTTTGAGAAAAGCTCACTTAGTTTATTGGTGATATTGTAAAAGTGAAAAGATTATAACTATAGTAATCCATTCAAGATTGTTCAGATTGCCTTATTGATGGGTTGATTTGGGCCATGTTGTATTTCTTTTAACTATGCATGCTCTTTGTTCTGTTGAAGTCCTTCACTTGAAGACATTTTTTATCAGAAAATAACTTTGTCAGGTATATCTATATATAATGATGTAAAGAAATTATGACATTTAACTGAAACTAATAAAATTATTCCCTAGTAAATGAGATCTGAAAAACAACCAATGTGTCAATACCAACATCAGTTTGAAAAGGATCTACTATGAAATTAGGTTTCTAAAATAAAATGTAGTTTAACAAGAGGGCATTCACTTTGCCTTCCTTCTTATGGGGGCACTTCTCAGTAGAATGTAAAAATAATGGCATATTTGAAGCCATAAACATAATACGCCTCAAACTTTATGGCTTTCTAGATCAAAGGATTGAGTTTCAATTTAAATGTATGGATGTTTTTTATTATAAAAACAAAATATCTCACTAGAAAATAGAGCAAAAGACATTTTTTGTATTCTTCTTATGTCACAAAAGGAAATTGTAAAAGCATTCATTTAAAACTGTTAGATTATGGTACACAAAAGCTGGACACTGCTCTGTGTTGATTCAGAACTAAAAAACTTTTGCTGTTATGCCCTTCATTTGAAATACCACAATATTTTGGCTATTGTCCCTGTAAATATTGGTTGAAAGATTGATCATTATTGTTGAATTTCAATGTAATTGCAAATTAAGTGATGTTAAACTCAATAAAGTAAAATACACAAAAGACCAATTAACAAGTTATCTCAGTAGGTATATAGAAGAATGAGAGAACATACTGTTCTACACAGTAGAATATAATTAGGATGTAGTCATAAATCAGAGAAGTATTATAATTTGTTTAGGTGCACAGGTGGCTTTTCAAAAGATTGATTGACTTCTCTTGCCCCCTTGAGATGCAACTTCATAGTTATTCCTTCAAAATTAAACAGAATAATTTCTCAAACTTCCCACAGTGTGAATGCTTCAGTGCAAACAGCAGGCCTGAGATATATGTTTGTGAAGTATTCATTTTCTTGTCCATTCCTGTTCTAGATGCCCTCTATGATGTCATCACTGTGGGAGCCCCAGCTGCCCATTTTCAGGGATTTAAGAATGGTGGTCTTCGGAAACTACTCCATAGATTTGAAACAGAAAGAAGAAAGTAAGTAATGATGGAAACAAAGCACACATTGCATTAATGATATTTTCTTCCTTTTGGAGTCTGTATTCAAGGTTATGATAAAGAAGTTTGGTCTAACACAATGACTAGTTCTTGATATTTCAAACCCATTTAGTAATAGAATTGAATTTTCCAAAGCTACTAGAGCAGATATTAAATTAGAACAAATGAAATGTCTGTGTGTTGCTTATAGAATACTGCTTTGCTGATAGAACATTTTCCTAGAAGCTGCCATGCTAATGTGAGGTGATATTCTAGTATCAATCATTGTTTATGTAATAGAATGATGTTCAGAGGATTAGCTGAAATCTTAGTCTAATATTACTATTGACCTAAAGATACTTGACAGAGATCAGGGGTCCTAATTTATGTCTCTGACCCTACTAGTGATTTCCACTGTGGCTTGACCGAAGATACAAAACTGCCCCATCATTTAATTGTGCCATTTGAAGAAGAGATATCAATATGGGATGTCAGGTGATAAGGTTAAATAAAATAACTTTCTATTCCTTAGGGAAATAACCAAAAGTCATAGTTATTATTTATATAACTTTATTATATAATTTCTTTTTTCCCTTATGATTTTTAGCCTCTGTCTTTAGAGAAGTAAAACTAATGAAGCATATATAAGAAGCTCTGGTGGCATAGTGCCTAAGGCATTTGACTGCTAACCAGAAGGCTGGTGATTCAAACCCACCAGCCACTCCTTGGTAGGAAGATTGGCCAGTCTATTTCCATACTGATACAACAACAATGTATACACACATATATATATATATATACATACACACATACAGAGAGATTTTTTTCTCCAGCAAATGGCTTATGCCATCGTGGAGGTCGGCAAGTCACAAATCTATGGGTAAGGCATCGGCCTGGAGACCACTTGACTCATATGATTGTAGGGGTTGACAAACCCACAATCAGCAAGACAGATGACAGGCTGTTGGCTCATGAGCCTGCAGAATTCCAAAACTGACAATTTAGATGGAAGCTATTGGCTCACAGGCCTGTAGAAGCTGGTGAATCCAAAATTGGCAGGTCATCTGATAGGCTGCTAGTTCAAGTCCTAAGAGCTGGAAGTCAGATGATAACAAGCTGAATGCAGGATCCAGAGCAAGGAGAGCCTTACCAGAGCATCCATATATATATGCTGGATGCAGGTCACAACCCCAAGGAAATCCTCCTTCAATCAGAGTAAAGGTGTGACTTGAATCACACCCTCTTGTAAGACTGTGACTCGTGATACACCTTAAACTAATTTTCCCTTGTTAACATATAGAGGTTAGGATTTACAACCCCTGAAATGAAAGATAATTACACAATATCACAAGATGGAGGAAAATTACATTGTGTTGTTGTTATATGTTGTCGAGTTGGACCTGACTCGTAGCGACCCCTCCTTAGGTTCCCAAGGCAGTATCACTATGGAAGCAGATTGCCCAACCTTGCCTCTGAGGAGTGACTGGTGGGTTTGAACCACCAGCCTTCTGCTTAGTAGCCAAGTGCCTTAGGCACTATGCAACCAGAGCTTCTGATAATTACATTAGGTCACAAAATTAAAGACAACCACACAATACTGGTAATCAAAGACTAGCTAAGTTGACACATAACATTAAGTATCACAGGATCTTTTAAACATTGTTTTGTAAAGCTTTTGCATCAGTAGTTTATCCCCCTTTCCACAGCCTAACCTATTTATTTTATCCTATAATGTGTACTGTCTGTGACCACACCCATCTAAACTATAAACAGTATTAACATAGCATGACGGATAACTTACCTTCATTTTCAACTAGTTAATCTTCTTGGATTATGAAACTGAATTTTGAAAGTTAGGGGAAAATATTCTTTAATTATTGATTTAGTAATATTAGGAAATTTATGAGTGGTAAAACCAACATTTTTTTTTTTTTCAAGTTTTATCACATTTGCTATTCCATACCCAAATGTTTAGTTAGAAAGTATTTAAAGTAAGTTAGAATTGAAAAACTGTCATACTATTATATGAATATGTAAAACTAAAAACCAAACCTGTTGTAACTGAGTTCATTTTGACTCTTGCAACTCCATGTGTTACAGAATAGAGCTATGCTCCATACAATTGTCTAGTCTGTGGCCTTTGGAAACAGATCTTCCAAGGCTATGCTGGGTTTGTTACACACACCAAACTTTCAATTAGTAGTCAAGTGCTTAAATATTTGGGCCACCCAAAAACCTTATAAATATATAAGCTAAGTATCGATTACAACTCAATATAAAGAAAACAAAAATCCTCACAACTGGGTCAATAAGCAACATCATGATAAATGGAGAAAAGATAGAGATTGTCAGGGATTTCATTTTACTTGGATCCACAATTAACACCCACAGAAGCAACAATCAAGAAATCAAACATCATATTGAATTGAGAAGACCTGCTGCAAAAGACCTCTTTATAGTGTTGAGGAACAATGATGTAACTTTGAAGACAAAAGTGCACCTAACCCAAGCCATAGTATTTTCAGTTGGATCATATTCATGTGGAAACTGAATGATGAATGAAGAACAAAGAAGAGTTGATGCCACTGAATTGTGGTGTTGGCAAAGAATACTGAAAATATCTTGGACTTCCAGAAGAAGGAACAAATCTATCCTGAAAGAAAGGCAGCCAGAATGGTCCTTAGAAGTGAGAATTCCCAGAAGAATTCAAAATGGAGTCTCATGAGTAATCACCACGTTATTTCCCTGTAGCATGTTAATGCTTGAAAAACTAGGTACAGCAGTTTGAATTAGGGAGTTTGGTGCTCTGAACAGCTCACTGAGTCACAGTGCACCAAACACAGAAGAGTGGAATTAGAGGAAAAGCACAGGGAAAAAATTTAAGGAATTTCTACCCAGCAGAGGGCAGATGGGCAGTGGAGAGAGGCCATTGGATACTTCCCTGGGGCAGTCACTGACTGGCAGATTTGGGCGGCTACCTGAGATCTCTGTGGGCCAAGGAAGAAGACATCATATATCAGCATACCAGTGACCACACCAACAAACACCAGCAAGCACCCCAAGAATCTAAGTTCAGCACCTGATTTTATTGGTAACTTAGGTTGGCTAGGTGCAAATGGGTGCACGCAGCACCACTGAAACCCAAGCAGAGAGCTCACTGGTGCTCCACGAGGGTGAGCTGACTTCCCCCCTCAGCAGGTCACTGAGTGGGTTTGGGTCAGCTTGGGAGTCATTGAGAGGTCTGCGCTTGTCTTTGTCACTGATATCGGGACCACAGATTACTAGCAGGCACTCTCCTGACTCCAGTGCAGCTGAAATGGCATGCATCTTTGGCACTGCAGGTGGGTGGTATCATAGACAAACTCCAGAGCTATTTGCGGTCTGGGCAGATTGGGCCAGTGCTGAGGGCAGATGGGGTGGAGAGAGAGTAATCTGTGGCTTAGTGCATTTCTGGGAATTTGTCTTGGATCAGCTTTTTGGTGCCAAGGGGCCTCGGAAGCAGGGTCTTTGAGTGTGCCTGAGCCTGGCGGAAAGTGGCAGCTCCCTAACAACTGGAATCTTTCCTGAAATTGAGCTACAGGCTTGTAAATAACAGTACATCATCAATAACAGCCTGCACAAAGCCCTAGAAACCAACCCTAGCAACACCAAGCTTTCCTTCTTCTGCTCCCACCTTCTCCACCAATAACTTCACTCATTCAATAGAAGAAACTATATTCAGCCAATTACCATAAAACCTCCTAGTTCGAACTCTAAACCCTCTTTACGACAAACAGAAACACATATCCATATTCCACACAGTGGTTCCACCATCACAAAGAAAACAGCAGAGTGACCGAGCATACCTGAATCAATAAGAATATAAAATACACCAGCTTCACCTTTTCAAAATATTAAACCCTAAAACCAAGACAAAACAAATCAACATGTAACCAGCAGTTAAAGACAACCTCAAAATATCTAGGAAACAACAGGCAACTTCAAATCAAACAACAACAACAACAACAACAAAAAAAAAACAGGACAAGGCATTAGAAGCAAAACCATAAACAAAGGTCCCATTATAGATGGAGGAAGTTGAGGCAATAGAATTATCTGAGAAGGAATTTAGAAGATATGTTTATAGAGCCATACAAGAGCCTAAGGAAACCCCAAACAGAAACAAGCAGAACACAGACAGTTCCCTGGAGGAAATCAGGAAAATCATTGAGGAACAGAATATTAATATTAATACACAATCAGAACTCATACAAAAACAGCAGTCAGAAATGCAGAAGATATCTATTGAAATGCAAACCATGAGCACCAAAATGACAGAACTACACAACACAGTAGAAGCTCAAA